TCACTCTTCTGTTCCCCACCCCTCGACTTTCTGCTACTTTGATGAACCTTCCCTCTGTGAAGCCCGAAGTCAGCTAAATGGCTAATGATATCTATCAAAAAGCCTGCCATTTGAAATAAATTAATGTTGACGAATATTGAGCAGTGGAGGTGCATGCATGGCTATCCAACTCCCAACCTCTAATCATGCGAACACGCGCATGTAACACTAGATCATAAGCACTCGAAAAAGGCCAGAAGGATCAGAAAGTTCCATTGGAACTTCAATTTGGTGATTGGGCGAGAACCGATATGCCTCCTGTGTGATAAGATTTCAGCATAATGGAAGAAAAAGGACCAAGCAGCCACGCAAAAAAACGTGCAAAAGCGTGTAAATTTGTTGTAAGGAATAACTCGAAATCGGATTTATTGCCTTGGGCCAAAGATGATTTTTAAACAAGGAAATGGGAAAGTACTAAAAAGCAATCATAGCATGAAATCTGATGGTATTAAAATTAAAGTGCTTTAGAAAGTTCAACTGAAAGAAGGAAAAATGGCAAGGGCCAATTTAGATAAGAGGCACTTTTCACCAAAATCCCAGAACAGCATAAGATAAAGAAACACTTAGTCAAAAATTGAAGAACGCAAATTAAGCATCGAACGATGGCTTAAAAGCTAACTGCTCAATAATAGACCTTTTTGCCGTGAGTATACGTTGCCCAGGGTGCACCACGTGGAGGTAAGTCTAGCACACTTCCGACTTCAAAACACCATCACCTCACTGTATGTCATATTCGACTACTTCCACAGTACTCACCACACCTTTTTCACTCTACCTTAGTGTCTGTCTCTATTACACCTTTGAAATACTCTTCTGTTGCCCCCTCTCGACTTTTCCTTCTTCTCTGTGAAGCCTGAAGTCAACTAAAGGGCTTATGACAACTATCAAAATGCCTGCCATTTGATATAAATAAATAAATGGCTTAAAAGCAAACTTCATCATTAAAAGACAGCGATTGTCAATCATCTGCAGAAGCATTGGCCTATTGCTCGCTTATTGAAGTGCATTCTAGAGTTGTGAAACCGACAAAACGTAATTAAATTTGAAGAAATTGCCCTTCCAACACATTTTTTTAAATAAAGCGGAATTTAAAAAAGGATAAATTCCATTTCTGATACTGTGATGCTACGCTCTGACAATAAAGTGACTTTTTTAACGAGATGTCTTCGATGTTGACAATTAGCATCAAGTGACGTAGGAGGAAGATAAAGCGAAGTAGTAATATTCAAACCTTTTGAATTAACTTCTCGAAACTATCCAAAAGTGACACATTTTCGACCTAGGTAGAAGATGCTTAAAGTTCAATGTTTCTTTATTGAGTGGATCTGCTTCTATAAGATAAGAGAAGTATAGCTGAAAGAGAGAGAGAAATTAGAGCATCTCAGGAAAAAAATTATTACAAAATGCGAATTTAGTCGGTAGGAAATGAAGTCAAAACGCGGAGGAAAGACCAGTAGGGAAAGTTGTGGATATGGGTGACACAGAAAGTAAAATTAAAGAAAGAAAATAAGAGCTCATTTAGTGCGAAAATTTTGTCGTCAAGTGACCGGAAATTGATGGCAGTCAGAAATTGAGTTATATGTATCAAAGACACAATTGATGCATAATCACGAGAAATAAATAATATTGAAGACTATCCACTGATTGAGATAGATATTTTTTGTAAGGAATCAAACAAGTAAGTTGAAGTAGCGAATTAAACGGTAGAAGCTATAAGTGGCAGATAAGAGAAAAATTCGAAATTGCTAAAGAAATTTCAAATACCTCTTCAATCAGTAATAAAGGATGATATTTATAACGGGGGAGGGGTGCGCAATAGACTTACCTCCACGAAGTGCACCCTGGGCAACGTATACTAATACAGCAAAAAGTCTATTGGTCGGCAGTTGACTTCTGACTTCAAACTACTATGGCCCGACTTCTTGCCATATTCGACCCCTTACACAGTACTCATCTTACCTTTTTCTCTACCTTCGTGTCTGTCTGTCTGTCTCTTCCACAACTGTGAATCACTCTTCTGTTACCCCTCCCTCTCGAATTTTTTCATTTTGATGTTCCTCCTCCTCTCTGTGAGGCCTGAAGTCAACTGAAGGGCTAATGATAACTATCAAAACGCCTGCCATTTGATATAAATAAGTAAATATTTATAACGGGAGTTACACTTTCTAATGAGGAAATGCNGGCATTTACCAAGGTGTAGTCATTTAAATTAAGACATATGAAACCAATATTAATTATATATTATTTATATTTTAATAATATAAATATCACTTTCAAAAATGAAATGATCGAAACCAGAGGTCCATGTTAACCTTCATAAATCAGGAGTTCAAGTTCAACCGTATCTGGTTTTGGACAGTGGCACTCTCCAACATAGCCGACTGGCCAAGAATCGAAGCCGATGCTGAGTGTAGACTACGTACCGGACACGATTGCCTGGCAAGACGCCTACACAGATTAGGAGTATACACTCAACCCACATGTCCCCTATGCAACCTACAGGAGGAAATGGAGAAGACCCACCTGATTCGGGGTTCAGCCCTAAAGACAATGGCGGAAACCCAGAGATACTGGGAAGCCAGAAGAGAGCCTATGACCAGCTATTAATTAACTGATATATATGCACCCGCCACCCATGTGGAAAGCTGAAATCAACTAAGGGACCAATGATAAATATCATAAAGCCTGCCATCTGAAATAATAATAATAACATTATGTGTCGAAAAACCTCCTACAAGTCAAAAGAAATGATTTTTTATTTTAGTTCTCAATGGGTTAAGACAAATTTGGACGATAATTATGCTTAATGGGTAAGACGGAAGAAACAACATCCCATCTCTCCTATTTTAAAGTTGCCCAATTATGAAAAACCTAAAATTAAAATTTGAATTTCAATAATCTTATAATTTTGCCGAAACCAAATGGTCAAATTTCAAAATTGTTTCTTCCAATATAAACAACTATTTACATAGGGAAAACTATTATCTTATACAATTTTTGGTTAGAAAAGGTAATTCCATGTTTTCTCAAATGGGGTGTGCGATAGACTTACCTCCACGTGGTGCACCCTGGGGAACGTATACTCATACGGCAAAAATGTCTATTAACCGGCAGTTGACTTCTGACTTTAAACTACCACGACCCCCTGGTTGTCATATTCGATCCCTTCCACAGTACTCACCTTACCTTACATCTGTGAATCGTTCTTCTGTTCCCCACCCCTCGACTTTCTGCTACTTTGATGAACCTTCCCTCTGTGAAGCCCGAAGTCAGCTAAATGGCTAATGATATCTATCAAAACGCCTGCCATTTGAAATAAATAAATAAATAAATGTTTTCTCAAAGAAATAAAATGTAAAATAATTCAAATACTCAAAAATTTTTTCNAGTAAGTTGAAGTAGCGAATTAAACGGTAGAAGCTATAAGTGGCAGATAAGAGAAAAATTCGAAATTGCTAAAGAAATTTCAAATACCTCTTCAATCAGTAATAAAGGATGATATTTATAACGGGGGAGGGGTGCGCAATAGACTTACCTCCACGAAGTGCACCCTGGGCAACGTATACTAATACAGCAAAAAGTCTATTGGTCGGCAGTTGACTTCTGACTTCAAACTACTATGGCCCGACTTCTTGCCATATTCGACCCCTTACACAGTACTCATCTTACCTTTTTCTCTACCTTCGTGTCTGTCTGTCTGTCTCTTCCACAACTGTGAATCACTCTTCTGTTACCCCTCCCTCTCGAATTTTTTCATTTTGATGTTCCTCCTCCTCTCTGTGAGGCCTGAAGTCAACTGAAGGGCTAATGATAACTATCAAAACGCCTGCCATTTGATATAAATAAGTAAATATTTATAACGGGAGTTACACTTTCTAATGAGGAAATGCTTGAAAGAGAGGCGATAGAGGTGCCGGAAGGAAAAAAGGAATTTTTCCTCAACTTAACCGCAAATAAAAGCATACGCTTATGGTGATAAATAATTGATACACTAGCTTAGTATACACATAGTGCTAAAATGTAATAATTTTGGCACATGGACAGGCTGGCAAACTGTTTGGCATTAAGAATATGGCATTACGCGACCACTGCATGTGCTCTCAGAGTACGCATACGTCAATTCAGGCAATATCCAACTCATGGAATAAGAAAAGAAGCTACTCAACTCAATCATATTAGGCACACAAAGAGGAGGGTTAAAAATTAACTCAAATAGATATCGTGGCTGTAATTGTTGAAGAGCATCTACAAGACGCACAGAATGGGTAAACTAAGTGATATATCCCTTAAAATATCATGAAACTCAAAGCCGATTGTGTAAAGCTTGTGTTGGTATTGAACTAAGTTTTACGGTCAAATGAAGAAAACGATTTTGTGCAAAGGATAAAAGAACAATACTAAATTTAAAAAAACTTGAAATAATTAAGATTCCATAAAATTTTCTCTAGGTATTATGAGCTTAATTATTTAACCACGCCCGAGCTTATAACTCATCAACTTTAAAGTCATTATTTAAATAAGAATAGCCTAAACGCAGAACTTAAGTAGACACAAAGGTAAGATTAATTTGAAAATGACAATTTGATTAAAGGGAACACTGCCACCTGTTTGAGACAATTATCCAGATTTCATAGCTTTTTTAATTCAAAATTAGCTCAATATCAACATTTTGTACCCAATAATATTCTCCATGAATCTTTAAATGGAGACCATGAAAATCCATTACTCCCGGACTTCAAGAAAATTGGAAGTTAACTGTAAATGTAAAACTCTTGAGGGTCTGGATGGAAAAGTGGTTAGAAAAGAGAAAGAGATTGCCCTCTTCTAATGCGGATAAACTACTGGTTAAACAGGAGTAACAACGACCAATGAGAATACACATCGATTTGAGTTATTGAATGAGGGATGGCTTTTCAACAAATGAGGAAGTGACTTGAACGATTGCTTCATAGGGAGTGCGGTCACACTGCCTTTTTGAGTGTTATATCAAAAAAAACATAATTAGACATGTGAGATGAAACGACATCACTTAAAACCTCACCGATTACTGGACGCAAAGAAGGCTGTGTGGTTGCACTTTTGCTGGAAGAGGCGTCTGAAGTGAGAATTGAGGAATCAGCAGTGAGATTGACCAGACAGAAGAGAAGGCTATTCATTATTCGACTGTCAATTAAACCCAATGGCCAAATATTCGACGCAAGCTATGAAAGGAAGGCATCTACATTACTAAACTCGGAGACAAGTTCAAAACCGCAAATCAACACCAAACGTGAGCAACCTTTAAGAATCCAGCTTGAGTAGCCACTCGCTTTACATCGCGACTGTTGTAGAATAGATTTCCGAAAAATTCCAGATAGCACAATAAGTACGACACCAAACATTGCCAAGCCTGTTGACGACCTTCAGTTATTTGCTTTTCAGAATGAGTTGATAGGGATGTATCCGAGGCTGAAGAAGACAGTGGAGGTTTATTGGGTATTACTGATACGGCTGAATTAGTAGCAGCCAATGCAGTATATTTTGAAACCCTCGAATGACTCGTAATACGGTTCAAACGATCCAGGAGATTATTGCAAATGGTGAAGAGAGTGGAGAGGAAATCAGCTGAAAGAAAAACATGAAACACTAATTATAGCACTGGGTAATAAATAGATGTAGTCTGTAATAGTATCAGTAGTAGTCTCAAATAATCTAACTACGGTGATGATTTAGAGCTGGTTATTTAAGCAAACACTGAAATATCCAAAAATTATTATTATTTCAAATGGCAGGCTTTATGGTATTTATCATTAGCCCTTAAGCTTTGACTTCAGCTTTCCCCATGGGTGGGGGGTACATATATAGCAGTTAATTAATAGCAGTTCATTAGCTGTCTTCTTGCTTCCCAGTATCTCTGGCTTTTTGTCGTTGTCTTTAGGGCTGGACACCGAATCAGATGGATCTTCTCCGTTTCCTCCTGTAGGTTACATAGGGGACATGTGGGTTGAGTGTATACCCCCACTCTGTGAAGGTGTTTTGCCAAGCAATCGTGTCCGGTACGTAGTTTAAACTCAGCACAACTTCGATTCTTGGCCAGTCGGCTATGTCGAAGAGTGTCACTGTCCACTGTTTCTCCTTTGTTCGAGCTTTCAGTTCGTTGCACCCTGAAGTCATGAATTCTCTCCTGATTAAGGTCTTCATTGTGTGGAAAGACACCGGCCGATCTATGCCTTGCAAAAATATCCAAACATATCTATGCCATATTAATTATAGCCAGGTCCAGAAGCTTCTTGACTTCAACGCTCATTACCTCGTTATGAATGCCACGGATACATTTTAGGAGAACTCGAAATGGGATAAAGTTGTCTGTTTTTTCCCAATATAAAACGAAATCAGTGAAACTAGTATTGTTGAGACATAACCCCGCAGCAACATGACGAACCTCATTTATAGATGTGCTAATAGGATAAATCGCTCTCATTTCTAGTAATACCTACTAAATTTAGATACTAACTGGAAGAAAGTGCTAGATACTTGGAAGATTTATCATGAAAGGGAGATAATGAGGGCTGCCAACTATCACGATCTTGAATGAGTGAACAAGGTACCTATTTATGATTATTTAAATGGAGGCATAAATCATAGAGGAGAAGTAGATATATGAATAAGTAAAAATGTAACGGTTTCCCATAGATACTATTAAGATTAATGTATAACCTATGTCAATATATGTTACATACGAATATTAGAATCTTGACAATACTGAGAGTAATGGATAGGGTGATTAATTTACTACAATGGAAACAAATATAATGATTTGTACATCATTGTTAACGCCTTGATTGTAGTGAATCGCAAAAGCCAAAAAATTCTCCGAATGGAAAAGTTTTTGATAGCTAGAATTCAAACACATATTTAGCTTTTTAATAGTATTTATTATTAATACTTTCATAATTTAGAGTAGTCGTAAATGAACAGGATTGGAAATAACCACGCTTTTCGATTACATGAAATTAATAATGCCAAAATTGATAATGACACTTGATTCGGTAATAACAAAAGCAAATCCGTGCATTGAAAAGTTGACGTTACATCAAAATAGTAAAAAATGGCGTTCATAAACCGACCCCACTTTAAATATGATATTTTCATTTGACCACTAATCTCAAATATTTTTGCCTCATTGTTGTTGTTTCAAATGGCAGGCGTTTTGATAGCTATCATTAGCCATTTAGCTGACTTCAGGCTTCACAGAGGGAAGGTTCATCAAAGTGGAAGAAAGACGAGAAAAGGAGGGGTACAGAAGAGCGATTCACAGGCGTAAAAGAGGCAGACAGACACAAAGGTAGAGAAAAAGGTAAGATGTGTACTGTGAAAGGGGTCGAATATGGCAAGCAGTCGGGCCATGGTAGTTTGAAGTCAGAGGTCAACTGCCGGTTAAAAGACTATTTTGCCGTATGAGTATACGTTGCCCAGGGTGCACCACGTGGAGGTAAGTCTATTGCACACCCACTACCGCAAATATTTGGAGATAATAAACTATCAATTTTGCCGCTTGTCGATAAAACTACAAAGCACCCGAAAAAATTCCAATTGCGGAAAGAGATATCGGAATAAATTTTCCTTCAGGATGCCAGAGGAGCCACACATATTTATAAAAATAGTAATAATAATAGTATAAATCGCAAAAAATTGCACTAAACTGGATTTAGCAAGTTAAGAAAAAGATACAGAACTATCTAGATGATGGCATGATTAGGTGAGACAAAGTGCGATGACATCAATTAATGACTCGTCTTATTAATGTATACTCATACAGTGGGCTAGCTGTTGTGAGCAGACCTGATTATCGATTTCCATTATTTATCTGCATCACACTCAGTGCTATAGATTAATCCTGCCTTTAAGCATAGAGACAAGATCTCTCTGAGTCATGCTAATTCAATGAATTCAGATCTCCTTGAATTTTTTTTCACTTAAGTTTCAGACGCATATACTCGTATATTAAAAGTAACTAAACTCTATGCGTATTAATTATTTGAAGAAACCCCCCGCCCGCATAATTCACTTAAATACAAATTTCAGATATTGCAAGCAGGCAATTCTATTGTTTCAATTGTTGTATTTAAAACGCTAGAAGAAAGCAAAGTTAAGAGACCATTGTGAAACCGACGAACGAACCGAATTCTGCCCATCTGAGTATGGTCCATTTATTCATTAACTTACCAAAAGGGTAGGTGTTAAAAAACAAGTCACTTTTCCCGTCTCTCAACCCCCCCCCCCCAACCCCCTCCCCACCCACCCCATTGTCATCAGTACCGACAACGAAGACAAATTTGAAGAGTGGTGGGGAAAGTGAGAGAACGGTAACGAGAGTGACATTTTGGAAATTCAACTTCTAGCAATGAGTCAGCTTAAGCATTTCTGACCTAAGTGAATTCTTGCCTTATAATATGCTAACGAGTGCATGCTTGAACTACAAGTTAATTACAGGTGACTGGAAGATTGATCGGCCACGAGGTGATTTAAACAGACTCCAAGGGGAGGAATTCTGTGATCTAAATGTCAAAGGATTTTGAAGTAGACGATCAGTTCTCAGCACTTAATACATTTTCAAAGCAAATGACTACTTGTAATTTATAACTTTCACCCCACCAAAATGTTAAGATCTAATATTTCCTATTACGTTTGGTTCCACCAATACGCTATGAATTATGCTTTAAGAAATATACGAAAAACACGGTAATCAACAAGCCAGATCCAATTGAAAGTAAATAAGAAAATAAATCTGCGAGCGTACGGAGCAATGGATAATGAAAGCAACCCCAAATCATCCTTAAAAACAGACAAAATTTCTTGTTTAAACAGAGGAGTTCTAGGCTTCTTCAATGGCCGGGAGGTCCAGTATTTCATTTGTTTGACAATTATTGATTTCACTACTGACTGCAAATCCAAAAAGTTTCATGTAAGCATTCCCAAAAGGGCAAAGTTCTAGAATAAAAAAATCCATTTTTGAGTAGATCCAATTGTTAAGAAACCGATTTGAAAGATTTTTAGAAGAAAAATATAACAAACGATACCAAGGGTTAGGTTAAGTCCAAGGAAATATCAGTCAATATAAGAGTAAAATAACTACAAAATAAACGAAATAAATAGGATTCAGGAAGTAAATAAATGTTCGATCGGAATTTGACCTATAATTAACAACGAACGCTAAGTAATTATGTGCAACAATACATTTATATGATGATAAGTTGGTTACACTATGGAGGATTTGCAGTATTCATAGAATTAGTACAATTGTAAAGCCAGAATAGAAGATAAAAAAGAATTTAGACATCGAGTGAGCAGCGAAATAATTACAGAAGCAAAAATGGAGGGCGAACAGACAAACAGACTGGAAACAATAATCCACTTCGCTGGGAGAAGTAGAGGCAAAATTTGCCATGAGAAGGAGATAAAACTTTATTTGAAACAAAAGAAATACGCGAAAAGGGATAAAAGTCAGTAGTGGCTTGGTGTTTGGGAACTGGGTCTCTAAAACGGAAGCGATGGGAAGGTTTTTTGTATGAAAAAGAACGAGGCGCAGCTAGAATTTCCGTTCAGTTTCAGCATGGTCCAATTTATTTTCAAATTTTCTTCGAAAAAAAACCCCAACTGATCGTGATAAGAGACGAATTATTATGGAATGGATATCCAAAATTGTGGAGTTACTTTTTTCAGAAAATGAGTGAAATTAAGAGAATGAAGACAAATCACGTGACTTGTTGTTTAAATAGACTTGGCATAAGCAGAGATTCCAAAAAGGGGTGTGCGATCGACGTGGTGCACCCTGGGCAACGTATACTCATACGGCAAAAAGTCTATTAACCGACAGTTGACTTCTCACTTCAAACTACCATCATCCCACTGTATGCCATATTCGACCACTTTCACAGCACTCATCTTACCTTTTTCTCTACCTTTGTGTCTGTCTGCCTCTTTTACATCTGTGAAACGCTCTTCTATTCCCTACCCCTCGACTTTCTGCTACTTTGATGAACCTTCCCTCTGTGAACCCCGAAGTCAGCTAAATGGCTAATGATATCTATCAAAACGCCTGTCATTTGAAATAAATAAATAAATAGATTCCAAAAAAGATTAAATTGAAACGCAAGATGCAGTAATGTCGTTTACTAAAACCACATTTGAAGAGCAGTTTGTAAAGAATATAAATAGAATAACATTTAACATAGGACAAGAGGAAGGAGACACGGGTATACGAGAGGTAATTTAATGCCGAAAGATGATCTCCATTCTTGTGTTTCAACCATTTGACAATCTACCCTCAAACTAAATGTTCCAGTGAGAAGAACAAAAATGAGCATTTCCAAACCTCTAGGTAAACTATCATAATGAACTCCTAACAGGTAAAAGTTACTCCGCTTTCAATATTGCAAAAGCAGAAACCAACTTAAATTGGTAAAAGAGCCACATTAGATAAACTTGAAATATTTAAAGATGTAACCCATTTACCAAAGTACAAAATGGACCTCAATTACTCGATTTTAATGAGAAATAAATTTAAAAAAGCAGATATACATTTTAGGATGTCTTGCAGATGAGTCGTATTAGTGTTATTTTATTAGAAAAAGGGTCTATGATTCGCGATACAAAATTTCGACCCAGACACTAACATCTAAATTAATTCTAATTCGTACTTTTAACTGTTACGAAATGGGACGGACGTTTGGCTTACCTCCACGCGTTGTTAGCTAGGCAAAGTACACTCATAGGGCAAAAAAAGTCTGTCAACCGGCAGTTGACTCCAAACTACCATGACCCGACTGTATGTCCAATTCGACCACTTCTACAGTACTCACCTCACCTTAACTTTTTCTCAACATTTGTGTCTGTCTTTTTAACATCTGTGAATCACTCTTCTGTTCACCCGCCTCCCCCGAATTTGAGTGACTTTGATGTCCCTCCTCTCTGTGAAGCCCGAAGTCAACTAAAGGGCCAGTGATAACTGTCTTTAAACATACAAGTTATGGGAGTCAGTAAACCTATCAGTGACAATTCCCTAAAGTCATATCAGCCCAACATAGTATGACTAATCTTGTATAGCAAATAGTTATGAATTTAATAAAGAAGAGGAATCCAATTATATTAACCTAACACAGAGGAAATGACTTTAAACGAAAGAGAGGCAGAATAGGACTCTGAACTGGGAAAAGAACTGAGCCATCCTTATTAGATACAACAGGAACAAATACTGGTATGAGAAAGCACAGTATAATTGCACTTACCAAAAGATGAAGGACAAAAGTTTCACTAAAAGTGGCCATTCCATACCTTCAAGTTCTTAAGAATCAAATCATTTATTTATTTATTTCAAATGGCAAGCTTTATCATAGTTGTCATTACCCTTTAGCTGACTTCGGGCTTCACAGAGAGGAGGAACAGATAAGTGATTCAAGGAAGTAAAAGAGATAGACAGAC